TATACACTGGTTTAAATTTATTAATATAATTTTTAATAATATTATCATTTTTTATTTTTAATAATCTAACATCACCTAAATTATAAGATAATACAAGGTTTTTAATGCCTAATGGTAAATCATAAAATAACATAATATATTAATATATTTATTTATTTAATTAGTAATTTAATCATGTAGTTAATTATTAATTTCAGGTGTTTCTTCTGGTTGTAATAATTTTAGGTATTCTTGGTGTTTCATTGATTTTGAGTGTCTTGGTAAATTCTTTTTACATATAGAAGCACCACATTCACAAACAATCAAGTTTCACGGTTCAGTTTGACTCATTTTTATGTTGTGTTTTTTAGTTAGTTTATGATATTTCAATTCATAAACACACACTATATCACCACATTCACACTCTACCTTTTGTCTATGCTTCTCATTTATTTCATCTTGTTTTCTATTGTAATACTCTTTTTTACTTTCACTGACTTTTTCCTTGTTTTCAATGGTATATTGTTTTTGATAAGCAATTTTCCTTTCTCTGTTGTTCTGGTAATTCTCTTTCATTTGTTCTAATATTGTTTCTTTCTTATTTTCATAGCGTTCTTTTCTATACCTTAAAATACTCTTCATTTTCCTTCATATAGTTCTTGTTCTTTTCATTCAGTCTATCTCTATTATCAACCCACCATTGTTTCGCTTCTTCATCTGTAATAAATGGCTTTCTGTTATTCAGTGTTGCTTTATGTAGTTCTATATATTCCCTCTCTTTTTTCAATGCGTCTAATCTTGTTTCACAGTTTTCTGTTGAAATTTTAACCATATTCCAATTCTCCCAGTTGCCGTTATCACGGATAAACTGATAAACAGGTAGATGGTGCATTTTGTTGTTAGGGTTGGTGCAACTCGTTTTATGTCTGTATTTTCTCTTTGTACAGTTTAATGTATGACCGATGTATATTTGATTGATACTTAAATCATTACAAACAAGTTTATAGAATATCGTATTTGAATAGTCCATACGAACTTTAGGCATTGTATAAGATATTATAACACTTAATCTTTAAATACTAACTTTTTATTTTCAAATAATGAGAGAACTTTTTCATAAACATACGGTTAGGGTCTTTTTGGAGAAGGTCAATATATAAGAAACTATGTGGTTCGTAAGTTGCGGTCTCATATATTTTATAAATTAGTTTCTTGCTTTCGTGTAAATTATCGTTTCTAACAATTGCGGATAATTCATCTTGCAATATGTCTATCTCTTTGAAGTTTCTAACTTTATAATAAAACAAATGACTTATATTTACTCTAATAATTGGTGGGACACTTGATGATTTCTGAAGACTGACAAGCGTTGATATTCCACTATGACGTCCCCTACAGAATAAAGAATTTAACAATTTGTTATTTCTTGTTATTGCTGGGTTATCAGATACATCATCCAAAATTATCAAAATATTAAATAACTTCTTCATTCCTTGTTTTTTCTGGTATTCAATTATTTTATTTTGAGTTTCTATAACTCTTTCTAAATCTTCAACATTGAACTCATCCCACCAACACGGTTCTTTATCAGTATCTACTTTCAAACCTTCCTTAATGTATTTCTTCACTGGCAACCAAATACTATCCAAATTTACAGATGGGGACCAGATAAAAACTCTTTCAAATGCTCCTCTATAAATATCAAGTATCATTGATACAAGTAAAGTTGATTTTCCAGAACCAGACGGACCTACAATCATAGCTCTCATCGGCAATTTAGGGACGACCTCGTGCTTACTTTGCTTAAAGTCATATTTGATTTCATCAATTGGTTTTACATCAGGCATAATAAAAATAATATTAAAGACATTTAGAAAATAATTTAATATTATTTATTGTATGAAAGCATTGCTACGATATGAATGTGGTCTATCGTAGTAGAACAGGTTCTTTCATCAACTTCAATCATAAGCATTGAGACTAATTAGTTTGAATTAGCTTGAAACTCGCTTGTGTTTCCAGTGCAAAGAAAACTCCATTGTTGTGCCCTCCGAATATTCTACCGTGCATGAAATAATAAATTCAAATAATTATTTTAATAATTATTTCATATTATTATTTAATATGGATAGAAGTTATTCAGATTATATTGATATAATAAATGAAGTAGAACATATAGAAGATGTTGTTATAACCGATAATAGATTTAAAAAAGTATGCTATTTTGTTTTAGAATTAATTAAGTTTGTGATACAATATATTAAAAATATAAATATTAATATAGATGGGAAGAAAGAAAAAGAATAAGACCGAGCCAGTTGTTTCTTCAACTGATGAAGAAATTGTTAAAGAAACATCAGTTATTGAGTTTGCTTGTCCAATGTGTAAAAAAATCTTAGAAATGAAAAATGAATTAGAAATACAAAAGAAAGGAAACTGTAAATGTTCGTGTATTCCAACAAGTTTCAAAATAAGTAAGAATGATAAGAAAATGAATATTGATAAAACTAAAGACGGTGATTTAAATTAAGAAACAGATGTTCATAATATTGCTATTCGCTTTGAGTTACTCCATCAGATAATGGTGATAAGGAAACTCAGGAAACTGTTAAACAAATAATGAAAAATTAGTATTTAAAGAGTAGATTTAACATAATTGCAACATTTAGTTTTAAAAGTTTAGTTTTATAATTTAGTATATATTTACATGGATGAAGGATTAGAAAAGATTGTTAAAAAACTGAATAGGGTTTTAGAACAGAATAAGAATATTTTAGAAATCTTACAAGAAATGGAAAAGAAGAAACCAGTAACAAACAGTTATCAAAGTAAAGAAGTAGATAGAACCAATGGCGAATATAAAAATAAGAAACAAGTGTATTTAAACAAACTCAACAACAAAGAGATAAAAGAGCCGAAGTCCTCCACTATGGCATTTTATCAAATTGACTATGATGAGGAAACGCAACTTTATTCATAAAGTTGCATTTACTCATTGAAAAATAAACATAGTTTAGTTGTTAACGAGGAAACAGGGATTTTTATTCATAGATAATATTATCTAAATATCTTTAATAATGAACTTATTAGAGATGTTTAGCGGAACAGGTAGTGTTGGACTTGTTGCAAAGTCGCTCGGTTTCAATGTTATTTCATTGGATTTGAAAAATGCTGATATAAATACTGATATATTGAAATGGGATTATAAACAATTTGATAGGAACCATTTTGATTTTATTTGGAGTAGTCCCCCATGCACTGAATATAGTGTAGCAAAAACTAGGGGAATTAGGAATATCGAATATGCTAATAGTATAGTTTAAAAACTATTGAAATTATCAAATATTTTAATCCTAAATATTTTGTAATCGAAAATCCTCAAACTGGATTATTAAAAAATCAGGAGTTTATGGATGAGTTTGATTTTAAAGATGTAGATTATTGTAAATATGGAATGCCTTACAGAAAACGCACTAGGCTCTGGAATAACATTACAACATGGAAACCTAGAGATTTATGTAAAAAGGATTGTGGCAACATCAGGGATAATAAACATATTGAAACTGCACAGAGACTGCCAAATGGAAACAAGGAAAATTGGGGAGACAATCCAATAATACATAAGCAGGAAGATTTGTATAAAATACCTAGTAGTTTAATCAGTGAAATTTTGGTGAGTTTGGTTGGTTAAATAATTTGAGGCTGTCCACTACTGGAAAAAGCCCCCTTTTTGACGTGCACCGCTTTTGGTGTATGCGTACACCGCTTTTGGTGTATGCGTACACCGCTTTTGGTGTATGGGTTGTTTCCTCTTTTTTTTTTCTTAATGCCTTAAAATGACTTAAAGAAATAGTGCCTTAATATAATAAGAGGAAAATGAACGGTGATAAAATCAATAATTATATCAATAAAAAATGCTATGATTGTTGTCACTTCAAAAAAGAAAATATGGAATTGTATAAATTGAATTTACCTAATGAAATAGTGAATAATATTATTAATTATTCAATGGATGAAAAAGACGAATGTGAAAATTGTCAGGAATGGAGAGATAATCAATTTTTAATCAAATGTTTGTTGAGAATAAAAGGAAGACATAATAGAAATGTAGAAGATGAGATTTTAATATTTCTAACTGTAAATAAAATACCACCTTATGATTATGTTAAACAGTTTCTTAAAATCAGTAAGAAAAAATATGAAATGATTTATGATATATTATGGATGTTGGGCTATAGTCAAGAGAAAGGGGAAGATGTTAAAGAAAATATCAAATTATTTATTGAAAGTAAAAAGTTTAATGTTCAGAATACAGTGAGAGACGTTAATATTATTTTTAAAATGATGTATGAAAGAAGAATGACAAATCAATTAAATTATTATCCTGTACTGAAATTATAATCATACTATAATAATAACATGTAAAATCTTATATGTTATAATTATACTATACTTTTGGTTTGTAAAGATTGAAATATTTTATTTTTCCTAATTTGCTTGACTCTTTCAAAGTGCGTTGTTTGAACTTGGTATGCTCTTTTGATGTTTTCGTGTTTTGGCTGTTTGTTTTTATTTTGTTTGATACTCTTCTGATATTTGTTGTTGGTATCTTGCTTTGAAATTTGTTGATGTGTGTGTGTTTGAGTTTGTGTTCTTTGATGGCTTTTATTTTTGCTGTTTTGTTGGTATTCTTGCTTGAATTATTTAATGTTGTATGCTGTGATTAAATATTTTTGTTGCTGGTTGTGATTATTTATTTTGTTTGCTTGTTGTTCTGGATTTTGTTTTCTGTTTGTTGTGTTGCTGATGGAGAAAAAATAGTAAAAGTAGAATTCTTTGAATTCCCCTTTTACTATTTTTTTGGGGTGGGGTGGGGTGGGGTGGGGTGGGGTGGGGTGGGGTGGGGTGGGGTGGGGTGGGGTGGGGTGGGGTGGGGTGGGGTGGGGTGGGGTGGGGTGGGACTCAGAGTTAGACGCATGTGTGCATGCAACATCAAACATCCGTTACTGCTGCCAAGCCACGTGCCAAATCTCGTGAAACCCGAATTTGCCTGGAATAGGGTTGGGGCCTTAGGCTTGTCCCAAGCTCAATGTAGCTTGAGGTGCAAAGTTCAAGGCCAAGCTAAGACTTGCACGTTGCAGCGTGAAGATAATACCGCCCACCGAGTATGCAATGCCCCCGAGAAGCAGCAGCATTGCACCTGCGCATGAAAGCACTGCCAAAGACTCACCGAATGTCCGAATTCACCACACCCACCTCCGAATTGGATGCAGTGGTAAGCTGGGAACGCCAAGAACGCTCCAAACCAGCCCAATGTGACCTGGGCTGTTCAAATGAAGGTTGTGCGTCTAACAGGTGCAACAAGCCAAGCTCCACGCATACATAGTCATGCTGGCCCACATTGGAAACTCCAAAGGGCACATGGTCTGGAAGCATACCTCAAAGAAAGCCCGAAAGTTGGCCATGCCTGCCCCATGCCATCCCTGTCCCAATCATCGAACATGGTGAACTAAGAGTCGTGCACCAACTAGCGCCAGTCCGGTGCTGGTGCCAAAGAAGACCCAGCCCAGCCACGAATCATGGAGGCATACAAAGCAAACCTCGAGATGGGCAAAGCATCAAGGCGGACAGAGCCACTCATCGCTGGGTGTTGGGCCGGCATCATGGTCCCAGGAATCAGAAAGTAGATGGCAACATAGTCCAAAGTCCGCAAAACATCCATCAGACGCTTGGAGCCCTTGATCCCATGGTGCCTTATTGAGGGCCGCGCTCACTCGTGTCAGCTCAATCTTCGCAATCTTCATTTGCTCACTGTGCCCGGCGCGCAAAGCTCGCAAAGAAGAGGAAAACCAGCGAAGCACCATACAACGAGAACCTGTGCAGCTGGAACCCTTGCCAGGTACTTCTTCACTTGGTCAAAATCCAAAACGCCAGGCGCACGATATGACTCCCCAAACATTTGATTGCGCGGCAGCGCCCGTGATGAGCACGGTCGAACCTCGGCTGCCCAAAGTCCCGGATCAACAGCCGGGAAGCCTCGTAAAGAAACACTGCCTTGAGCGCATGGCCCAAAACAGACAGCAATCCGCCAAATAGATGCGATGATGCATTGAAGACCTCGTCGGTGACATGCTCTGCACCGTCGTGCGATACCTCGCCGATCAATCCTGGCAGGTTTGTACAAAGCTAATGGAATTTTGACAACACCCACGTGACAATACAGTGAACAAAACCATCTGCGCTGATGTTGAAAGTGCTTGACTATCGTCAGAAGCCGTCGGCTGCAGTCTCCGTATCGGGCCTATGTTGGAAAATCTTGTTTGGTCGTCGCGGTTCTCATGAGAACCCATACAGCATGATTGATGCGGTAGATCTGTTTCCTGAAACGCAGTGACACGAGCAGTGATCAGCTATCTTACAGCGCAATTGCATTATTGCTCGTGTGTCCTCATCATCGCTCGTCTCTTCAAAGCCCATGTAGCCTTTCTGTTCTGGTGGTTCCATGTTTTCGAATTCACACTGGGATTCAGTGCAAGGGTGAAAAACGAAGCCAAATTGACAAAAACGGATTGTAACTTTTGATGGTTCTGGCTATATATAGCATTGAAAGAAACATCGATGTGGATTGATCTGATCTGGCTGAGGCCCTTTTCAGGCCTGCTCATAAAAACTCAGGCATGTGCATGCTTGGCTTTTCGCTGTCCAACGTGTAGACTTGCATTTTGGTCCTCAATCTTGCCACATTCGTTCCAGAAAAAACGGGGCCAGGCACATTCCGCGGTGTTGCAGGCCTGTGTGGCAACATTGAACCACAAGAAGGGGACAAACGAAACTGTCATGCGTCGCAAATTCCCATCACTAGTGAAGCTTCTCAACAAGCAAGTTTACACGACGCCATGGCATGATAGCAACGCTATTTGACTGCGAAAACATGCTATCCAATAGCCTGCACCCAAACTAAACTATTTAGTACGTGCCTGCTGGCATCTTAGTGTGCGTCACAAAACCACACGGGGGAAGCTGCGGATTGACGCATCCAACCTTGCCCACAACCACAGAGCCCATACGTCATGACTATGCCGCTTGCACAGCACTCCCGACCATTGCAACCCCCGCACACAAGCAACCTGCTTAGGTTGCTTGACCTTCGCGGAAATGTCAATCATGCGAAATAGGAAAACGCGATTTGCTTCGGAAACTTGCGGGCAGTTGACAGTCAATGGTTGCGATCGAAATACATGTTCAGTTTGATCCAAATGATGGCAAGGCAATGGTTCAAGGCACTGGCAACGCTCAGCACGAATTTTCACTGGATCAATGAGAATACCGATCAACGAAGAGAACGATTTCTGTGGATTACGTCTGGAACCTTTACTGCGCCGAGCAGCACCAGCCCAGTTGGGAGCGAGCATTGGGTTTGTTGCCTGTGTCAATTGAAAAACAAGCGTATCCACGTTCGTGCACATGGACCTGTTGATTTGTCTATGTATCCACCCACCTTCTCATACATGTAGCGGACTGCGCATCAATCTGTATGTCCATCTACTTGTGTAGCCATGCGTTTACCAACATCTTTCTACCAATCCGTTTTTCTATCCACATGACTATCTATCGGTCTGTTTTGTCGAGCTATCTGATCTGATTGTTGAATTCATCTATCATGCCCATCTAAACTCGATCTAGTCTGTTCGAAGCCATCTATCTGCGGGCCATCTGCGCCACCTGCGCCACCTGCGCCGGCGGGGCAGCCATGTTTGAACACAAGAATGGGCGGCAGGCTGGGAAATAATCAGAAGTATCCGTTGTGTCTAGATTCTTGGGGGGTCAGGCGATGAAGCATTCACCTTGTCGAGGCGCAAAAGCGCAACAGGCACACAGGCGCCAAATGCCTGAAGAATGGGCGGTCAATCAGGTGGCGGGGGTGAGTCCCGAACTGCAACCTGGATCAATTGTCCTCGGGGCTTCTGTCAAAAACCTGTTTATTGTTTAAGGCCTAAGACAGGCATGCAATCAAAAAGGAATGAATGCAGAAGAACGCTCAGTTTCTTTCTTCCCGGCGTTGCTCAAAGTTGAAGGCTCTGGGGCGTACAAAAATCAAAGCCCCTGTTCGGCTTATGCATACTGAATCCCACGCGCAGCCTCGGGAGTCTACCCCTGACCAACATGCGCGCTCGATCAGCCTGAGATTGCTACTCACCTGGAAAGAAACTTGCCGTCACACGCTGAGTAAAACATGTCTGCAAGTTTGCGTACGAACCTGGGGTGGCTGCACCCTTGCGGTCATCACTTCGGCTCAGACGGGCGGGCATGACACGCCTGAATCAGTCCAAATTTTTTTGGAAAGCGGAATCCCAGGGTAGCTAGCGCGCACACTTCTTCTCATGACCTCAAAGGTTAGAATCTTGATCACTGCTTCAAGCCGTAAGGGAACATGCAACAAAAGACAAAAGAGTACGACCGACAAAAGGTGCACTTGCTCTTTTTCTTTATGAGGCGTTGCTTGGAAGTCAAGGCTCGGGGGTGCAGGGGGAAAGACAATGCGTGTCCTTTCCCCGTGTCTGCACCCCCCTGCGGAGCCTTCTCAAATGCCCCCGTGGTCAACAAAGCGTGTTTGACCAGGCGCCAGGTCTGTTACCTGTGAGGCGTGAAACAATCGAAGGCATTGGTTGTTGCAGGATGCCGTGCGTGCATCCGGCTGGTGCGCAATGCGGCACACGGTGCAGGTTTGGGACCTGCCGAGGCGGTCACTGCATGCAGCGGCATGTGCAGTACTGTCGGCACTGCGACGTCTAGCCTCCTGGGTGCCAGCGAGGCGGTCGCTGCGTGCAGTTGTTGCCGGCAGTGGGAGCGCACTGTCCGGAGGAGCAGCCGGAACGTCCCCCGGACTGTTTCATGTGCGATTTGAGGGATGCTGGGAGGCACTGTGTGCTTGTTGGCAGCCGTTTACTGTGCAGACATGCGCAAATTGGCAGTTATCTGACTTGCACAATCCGTTCCGGGTGATGCTGCCCAGTTGTCGCGGGTCTTCCCCTTTCCCTTACCTTTCCCCTTTTTTCGGGGCGGCTCGGCTTTGCGCTGCCTGGGGCTGGTCGTTTGGCTGGTCGCGCTGCGTTGCGCGGTCGCTTGGCGGGCTGCGCCGCCATCGGCTGTCTGCTGGTCTTGGGGCGAAGCATGAGCAGCGAGTGTATTTCCATGCATAGAATGCATCGTCCATGGACCATTTGCGCTGCAGTAGGTCGATGATTGTGCCCCAGATCTGGAGATCGGCATGCAGGAGTTCTGTGCTTGGCAGAGGGCGAGTGCGTTGCGAAACACTTGCTGAATGCGACGTTTATCTCGGGGGTGTCATCGAAGAATGCGCGCGCCAGAAGCTGTGTCTCGGCGCGCGCGGCTTTGTGGGAGCGTGCTTCCACGGCTTCTTGGTACTGGCGCGCTGTGAGCCGTAATTGCAATGGGATCCACTTGAAATGTTTGGATTTGGTCATCTCATAGACCATGCTGAGCAGGCGGATGCTTGGCACGTTGTCCGGTCCCAGGAGCTCTCCTGGATAGTTTTTTTTGCTACTTGTCTACCAGGTCCTGCGCAACTTCTGGAATTAGTTTGGGGGGCAGATTACGGATGGTTGACCTGCTGGCGGGCCCGCCGCTTTGGGCACTTGAGCATGCGTCTCCTGCAATGATGCGGCTCTGGCAATTTCAAATGCTTTCCTGATGCGTGCGGCTGGGATGGAGCGCGCGTTTCCAGCGCGGTCCAAATCTCGGCAGGCACGTCATCGAGGAGTGTACTCAGGTCGGATGTGTTTGAGTATGCATATGCAAAGTGGGCAACATCTTCAAATTTGAGACCAAGGATATGCTTGGCGAGCATATCCGGCACTCGGGCGCTGGCCAGCAAGGCGCGCAGTGCGATTGCCGTGTCACTTGAAGCCTCCAAATCTGCCCTGACTGGAGAAAGCAGCGGTGTGTGGTCTGAGGTGTGGGCCGGTGATGCCGGGCGGGCGATCATGATAGCCGCTGTGGGCCTCAGGAGGAGTGGAGCACAGGGGCGAGAAAACAAGCAGTTTGGGCGCGTCTGTGTCATGGCATGAGTGAGAAAGCGCTGAAAGTCACCGAAGCGCACGCTGGTGTGGGCTGCCAAAAGGAAACCTAAGGCAATGCGTAGGCTGGGGGCGCAGTCGGCGGAGCAGACCTTTTGTTCCCACGCTGCTAGGACGCCCAGGGCCTCTTTGCGCTTGTGGTTATGCTGCGGCGACGCGAAGGCTCGAACCAGTGGATTGGTGAGTGGATCTGGCCTATGCGAGCCAGCCACGAAAGAGCCTTGAGCATAGGCTTGGGGGGAGATGCGGACACTGGTGCGGTCTTCGGCTTTTGAGCTATCACAAGCATGCATCAGGTCAACAATATGCACAAGCTGGAGTTCTCCCACAGAAATGTCCAGCGCGCGCGAACGCGAGGAAAACCCGCACGCAGCGAAAGTATTGGGCCAGTGTGGAAGGAGTGAAATCTCTTAGTGATGCCTCGTAAACAGCTTGGCTTTCAAGTGTTGCACTGCTGGAGCGTGGAGAGGATGCTCTAACTGAAGCACCAGGCATGCTAGGCGTTTGAATTGGCGCTGCTGCCACGGGAGCGATTGGCCCCGGTGCTGGTGCCAGGCTGCAAGGCGGCGGTGCAAGCCAACAGGAGCGGCAGCAAAAAGCGCTTGAATCCGAATGGGTAGACCATGCACCAGTGCGGGAAGCTGCTGTGGTTTCCGCGTAAAAACAACCAAGAGACCAGAGCTGAATGCACAGAGTTCAACCTGGGAATTCTGCGTGACTGCAACAGATCCGCCTGAGTTGTTTTGTCCAACGATTTCACCTAAGCTGCACTTGCAGCCTTTGGAAAAGTCAATGACCCAACACTGCAGTTCCGAGTCAGAGGGCACGAGCAAGATCCATGTCGCGAGATCCTGCTGAGCCTGGTTCGGTGTTAGAACCTTCAGCCTAACAAGACCTGACTGGCCAGGAGGCAGGGCTGGAAGGCGTGAGCGAATCCTGTCATGTGCCAGAAAGTCGTCAGCAAAGTCATGAAATGTTTACCGTCAGTGACGAAAACAGGAAAGACGCCGGGCAACATCATAACATGACACTGTCCAGTCTCCTGGTATACATCGAAAGTGACATGCTCACGCACTCGCTGTCGACTGTACGCACTCGACCCAGGGACTAGCCCAAAAGTCGCACTTTCAGCAGCCCTGGAACCATGTTCTGTGTTTCGCCAGTGCGCAGCAACATCTTCGGCATACTGCCTAACCTTGGGCCTGTCTTTGACATGCGCAGGTCGAGGGCCTGCGTGCTCGATGGTGACTTTGCCAACAGTTGGGATGGTGACCGTCATGGGGAAGACAAGCTTCTTCTTCTTCTTGGTAGCTGTAAATGACAGGACCTGTTGAGTATGTCCATCGTCACCAAGGACCCTGGCATGGTAACAGTCACTGGCTTCGATGTTCGCATCAAGTTCCAGCCACTCCAAGACCTGCGAGGTTTGTTCGTGCGTGAAATCGACAACTGGGACCTGTACCGGAATTCGCTCAATATGGCCTGGCTGTCTGAGCTGCACCAGCACGGCGCAACGGCCTTCCTGTACAGACTGCGCTTGGAATTCAAGTTGAAAGCATCCTTCATGGTTGCTCATTGGAAGGTAGATGTCGTCTTCAAGGGCTCGAAGGCGTAGCGTATCAAGCATACTTCCGAGACCATAGGCAACGTTGTAGCTCCCATGAAAGGCATGTACAATACGTAGTTCAACCAAAGTGCGACACAAAACTGTTATCTCCTCGGCTCGCAACGAACTGACTGAGAGATGGATTAGAGTTCGGGTGTTCCGGTGCCTGCAAAGCTGCTGCCAATTAAACGCAGGTCTAGTGAAGGCCTGAACATCGTTCCCTTGCAGGGCCAATTGATGTACGTTGTCAAGTAAAGCATGCGCAAAGGCAAAGGTAGTGTCCTCATGCAAAGTGCCAGGACAATCGGCCTGGTACTGGTACGTGGCGCGACACAAGACCTCGTTGGGCAGCACAGAGGGACCTGGGTACCGACTGTATTTCTGCGTGAAACCTGGCTGCCGCTCGAGATCACGAGGATCACAAGTTTTACCTTTGGCATCAGTATTAAAAGCGATGCAGGAAGAGACATACCTGCAATCAAAAGCAAGAGAA